AGGCCTCCAAGACGGCCCAAGAGGCCTCCAAGAGATCCTCCAGGAGGGCCCGAAGAGGCCAAAATCATTGATTGTCCATAGGTTTTTAAAGGATTTTCGCATTCGCTTCTTCTCGGCTTTCCGACGACCCAAGACGGCCCAACAGGCCCCCGAGATCGCCCCCACAGCGCCCAAGAGGCCTCCAAGATGACCTCAGGACTGCCCAAGAGGCCCCCAAGACGGCCCCAAGAGGGCACAAAATCGACCCAAGAGGCCTCCAAGACGCCCACGATGGCCTCCAAGACGGCCCTGGAGCACCCCAAGAGGGCCCCAAGTCGGCCCAGAAAGGCCTCCCAAACGGCTTCCGACGGCGTCAGACGGGCCGGGAGCCCACCAAGATGGCCGAAGTTGGCTCGAAGCGGGCCCAAGACGGCCCAAGAGGCCTCCAAGAGGGCTCCAGGAAGGCCAAAAAAGGCCAAAAACTGTGTGATCTTCCTTAGGTTTTCGAAGGATGTTGACATTTGCTTCGTTTCGGCCTTCCGACGGCCCGATACGGCCCGGCCCAAGAGCCCCCAAAGATCGCCCAAAGATCGCCCGAGAGGCTTCCAAGATGGCCCCAGAACGGCCCAAGAGGCCCCCAAGACGGCCCCAAGAGGCCCCCAAGACGGCCCACGAGGCTTTTAAGACACCCAAGACGGCCTCCAAGACGGCCCTGGAGCATTCCAAGAGGGCCCCAAGTCGGCTCAGAGAGGCCCCCCGAACGGCTTCCGACGGCGTCGGACGGGCCAGGGGCCCACCAAGACGGCCGAAGATGGCACTAAGATGGCCCAGCACGGCCCAAGAGGCCGCCAAGAGGGCCTCCAGGAAGGCCCGAAAAGGCCCAAATCATCGATTCCCCATGAGATTTTGAAGGATTGTGACATTTGCTTTTTTTTGTTTCGGCCCTCCGACGGCCCGAGACGGCCCAAGTGTCCCCAAAGATTGGCCAATAGGCCCAAGACGGCCCCAAGAGGGCCCCACGACGGCCGAAGAAGCCTCCAAGACGCTCAAGATGGCCTCTAAGACGGCCCAAGAGCCCTCCAAGACGTCCTCCTAGAAGACCCGACAAGGTCAAAATGGCCTCCAGGCGGCCAAGATGACCTTCAAGATGCCCACGAGTTCCCCGAAGGCTTTCCAAACCCATTAGGGGAACACAGGGTCCGATAGCTTGGCAGGTCTGGCCTCAACGTTCGGCCACATAGGCGCTTCCACAAAGGCAGGGGGCAGCGGTGATTCGCCGTAGGCGTCTTCGATATACGCCGCCCCCTGTCGATTCATCGCAGGGGTGCCTGGCGTGCTAGACCCTCTCGGTTTTGATTTTGGATGTTTTCCAAAAGAACTCCCCCTGGGGCTTCGGCCCGTCCCGCCGGGGCCCCCGCAAGACCCATAGGACGCCCAAGCCATCGCAAAATTCCCAAATGTTCCTCCAAGACGGCTCAAGATGGCCTCCAAGACGGCAGAGATGGCCCTCAAGCTCGCCCAAGATGGTCCAAGATGGCCTCCAAGTCCGCCCAATATGGTCCAAGATGGCCTCCAAGACGGCCCAAGAGGGTCCGAGATACCTCCAAGTTCACCCAAGAAGCCTCCAAGACGGCCCAAGACGGCCCAAGACGTCTCGAAGAGGCCCTTCAGGAGGGCCCGAAGAGGCCAAAATCATTGGTGGTCCTTAGATTCTTGCAGGATTTTGGCATTTGCCTCCTCTCGGCATTCCGACTGCTCAAGACGGCCCAAGAGGCCGCCAAGATCGCCCCAAAACCGCCCACGAGGCCTCCAAGAGGGCCCCATGACGGCACAAGAGGCCTCCAAGAAGGCCCCAAGAGGGCACCAAGACGGCACAAAATCGACCCAAGAGGCCTCCAAGACGCCCACGATGGCCTCCAAGACGGCCCTGGAGCACCCCAAGAGGGCCCCAAGTCGGCCCAAGAGGTCTTTAAGACGCTCAAAATGGCCTCTAAGACGGCCCAAGAGCCCTCCAAGACGTCCTCCTAGAAGGCCCGAAAGGGTCAAAATGGCATCCCGACGGTCAAGATAACCTTCAAGATGCCCACGTGTTCCCCGAAGGCTTTCCAAACCGATTCGGGGAACACATGATCCGATAGCTTGGCAGGTCTGGCCTCAACGTTCGGCCACATAGGCACTTCCAAAAAGGCAGGGGGCGGCGGTGATTCGCCGTAGGCGTCTTCGATCCGCCGCCACCTGTGGCTTGCCACGGGGGAGCACGGCGTTCCAAACGTGAGATAAGGTCTGGTCCTTCTCTAAGGTTCGCAAGGGCCTTTGACCGATCCCGCCGGCCACCAGGAAGGACCCGAAAATGCCCGTAGCGTGGTTTTCCTCCAATACGGCTCCAAGATGGCCTTCAAGACGGCTGAGCTGGCCTCCAAGACGGGTAAGATGGCCCGAGACGGCCCAAGTTGCATTCGAGATGGCCTGAGATGGCCTCAAGATGAGTGCAGGGTTGGACTGGCCTTCGGGCCCGACCCAAGCCCCTGTTAGTTGATGGCCTCGGCTCGCCCGACGGCGGCCGAGCTCCATTAGTTAGATGAACGCCTTGTGATCACACTTGCAGTGAGCAAGCGGGGAGAAAGAGGGGAGCGCGGGCAGCAGCCGCGCGCACCGTTTTGCTCTCCCGCCTCGCGAGCCGCACATGCTGCGCAGCGGCAGAACCTACACCCCGTCCTCGCATCCATCCTCGGAGGCCAAGGGGCCTCCAGGAGGACCTCCAGGAAGGCCCGAAGAGGTCAAAATCATGGATGTTCAAATGGCTTCTGAAGGACTTGGGCGTTGGCTCATGTTCGGATCTCCGACGGCCCAAGGCGGCCCCAGCGGCCACCTAGATGGCCCAAAGAGCGCCCAAGAGGCCTCCGAGATGGCCCCCTGACGGCCCAACAGGCCCACAAGACGGCCTCAAGAGGGCCGCAAGACGGCCCAGCCCACCAGGCTGAGGGACGTGTCAAGCTTAACTGTGAGAGCTCCTTAAAGGGCTTTAGCCCCCCCCCTTCCCCCCCCCCCTCAGAGGCCTTCGCCATTCCGCCGCCCGGCTGCGGCATCGACCCTTGTCGAGCCACAAAACGGCTTCCAGACCGCGCCCAAGACGAGCTCGCACTCCAGACAGCTCCTTCTACGTCTTCGGGCCGCGTTGGGGTTCCATTTGGGCCCATTTGGGGGCCGCTTCTTTGCCCTTGCAGTCGACTCGCAGGACCCTGAAGAACGTCTCTTAGGTAAAACTTCGCCTACAAACCCGAAGCTTCAAACATCTATCAAAAGCCATCGGTCGTTGATGAATTTAGCCTCGGCGCCCGGACGTCTCCAAACGCTGAATTTCGGGCCCGCCTCGGGTAATTTTCGACAAGCGCATTTCGACTCCGTTTTTGGGCGCGCTCCAAGAGCGATTTTGGAAGACTGTCGAGCCAACTTGGGCCCCACTACGGAGCCCCAACCGGCCCAGGTCCCGACCTGGTTTTGATCGCATTCGGACGGGCATGCGGCCCAACGCGGAGGTGTTGTCGCTTGGGCCGCCGAACAGCCCGCCTAGGCAGCCTCGGGCCCTTCTCGCCCCCCTTTGGGGCCCTTCTCGGGGGGCCTTCTTCCGCCCTCGTGGGCACCTTTTGGTCCGCTTTCGGACCGTCCTTGGCTGGCCTTGGGCAATACTCCGGATAACTCTGGCCTCCTGCTGCGTACAAGGAACAAGGGTCAAAAAGCCCAGCGTCCATTGCACTGATCCGTGTGCTAATGACGGGCCGACGACCGATCGACAAATTTAAGATCGACTCTCCACACGGCAGGCCTGAGCCCAATCGGCGATGGGACGGAGGGGAAACGGAGCGCAGGCAAACATTCCGAACACACCTGTTTGGGAATCTTCACTGTTTTCGGGATGCTGTCATCCCGTCATGGCCCCGTCTTCGTCTCTCCCCGAGAGAAGTAGATTGGGCGGGCGGTGAACGCGAAGTGTCTTGAATCAGTTGCACAAGTGGAGAGAAGCGGCACGGAGAGGATGAGGAGGGACAGATCGCACAGCACAGCCGGGAGAAGACGAAGACCCAACAGCACAGAAGGGCTGGAAAACATACTTCAGATTTCGTAATAAAAGGGAGGGGGTCTGGACCCTCCAAGACAAGCCAATTCAGACCTCCCCCGTGGGAGAACCCTCCAAAACATCGTCCCCAGACCCCCCAGGCCCTCCAAGATAGCCTGGAAGAGACCCCCCCCCGAAATGAGACCCCCCTCCCTTTATTGCGAAATCTGGAGTACCGAGCACGTCCGAAGATCTCCTCCCACTGACCCCGGGCGCGGCTAGGCGCGGTGCGCTGCCAGCGTTCACCTCGTCCCAGCCCCAATCGCCGACGACCAGGAAAGAGCCCCGCCTGGGGAGGAGCCAAGGCACCCAGGACGGAGGGGTCCGCAGGGCAGGGGGGGACGAAGGAGGAAGAGGAGAAGAAGGACGAGGACACGGACAAGGACAAGGACAGGGACAGGGACCAGATCAGAGAAACTTATGCATTCGGCTTGTGTCGGGGATTCGGTGTTCTGCTATGTAGGGGGCCCAGGGGCCAGGCGGACAGCGACGACGACGACGACGACGACGACGACGACGACGACGACGACGACGGCGGCGGCGGCGACGACGACGAGGGCGACGAGGACAAGGGGGAGGAGGAACAAGACGACGACGAGGTGGCGGAGGGCCAGCACCCCCATCCGTCCTATCGGCCCAAGCCAAGAACAGGGGCAGAAGGGAGAAACGCATCGTACTCACACTGGAGCCAGATTGACAGGAAGGCAATGGGTTCGTCTCGGTGTTCTCTTGGGAACGCAGGGTCGCTCTGGGATAATGTTGGGGCCATTGCTTAGGAGGGTGGCACTTTGGAACGACAGGGGTATTTTTGTTGGGCTGCGCCCCAGAAGCATCCCACCGCAGAGCGGAGAGTGAATTTTCAACCTCCGCACGTTGTGGATGTTCTTGCAACTCGACGCGCAGGCGAGAGAGCACGAGATTGAGCAGTATGGCCAACAGCCCTGGCCAACTGAATGAGCAACTGTCGTGGGCGGTACGCCGCACGAGACAGCCGCAACAAATGGGGGAGAAGAGAGAAGGAGGCGGAGAAGGCAAGGAGGGAAGGAAAAAGAGAGAGAGGGAGCCAGAGAAAGCAAATCAGCACAGCGAACCTGCACAGCGCCTCCTGCCGAAACAGAGGAGACAGGCCAACATTGAAACGGTGAAGAGAAAGCCCCGGAGGAGGAGAAAGGGAGGACGAGGAGGAGAAGGAGGGGGAGAAGGAAGAGGGATACGAAAAGACGAGGGGACAGAGAGCTGCGCCGGCACGACGGGCAGCAACTCCGCCCCCCCCTCCGCGCAGCACTCCTCACACGCAGGAACCTTTTTTAAAGGTGGCATTCCGTACGTGTGTGCTTCTCCAAATCGAACGTGCTCGCCGGTTCTCTCGAAATGGTGATCACGCTGCAGCAGTGGCACCATGTCCACGTTGTCGGTGCTTCTCAGTGGTGTTCCCGCTGTAGCGTTGGCCTCGTGTCGCGGTTTCGGTCGTTGAATGTGGTGTTCCCGCTGCGGCGTTGGCCTGACTCCCAAGGTTTTACTCTCAAAAACACTCCCGCTTGCTCTGCAATGCTGTGGTATGCAATGCTGACTGCCCAATGCCATACCATTCCAGTGTGCTACGCCATACCATGTCATGCAACGTCGCGCTATGCTACACACCGCCATGCTATGCAACGCCTTGCTATGAAATTCTATGATATGCAACGCTTGGCTACGAAATGTCACGCCATGCTATGCCATATTACGATCTGGCCTGCTTTCCTACGCCTTGCGATGCCATGATATACTGTGCGGTGTTCAATCTTTCGGGATTAATGCCTTCCTCGACATCCGGCTATGCGATTAGACAGGGGCTGTACGCAACGGGAAGGGACGGGAGGGACGGGTAGGACGTCAGATATTGCGCTAGCGCACCTACGTGGCTTGTCGTCCTCCTCTCCTCTCTCATCTCCCCTCTCTCCTCCTCCCACTCCTCCTCGTCCTCCTCCTTTTCTTCCTCCTCCTCCTCATCATGCTCCTTCGACGACACCGACGACGACGACGATGACGACGACGACCCCCACCACCCCGCGCCGCCTCACCGGCACCCTCTCCGCCAGCCCTGGAGTCTGCGGCCCCATGGCGCTGCAGGTCCAGTTCTCGTCCGCGCGGTCCTCGGAGCGCGGGATCCGTCGTCGTCGGGCGGCGCCAGAGGCGTCTGAGGAGCAGGGAAAAGGAGGAGGAGGAGGAGGAGGAGGATTAGGAGGAGGAGGACGAGGAGAGGAGGGAAGCGCTGAGGGAGGAAGGGGGACTGGGGATGATGCGGAGAAGTGATGCCGACACCTCCTGGGTGTCCTGGGCCTCCTGGGCATGGGGAGGAGGGGAAGTAGCGCATGCGCAGCTAATGCCAAAACTGCTGGCTCTGGTGCGGCGCTGTGGCCCTTGCATCGCATCGCCGCGAGGTCGGCGGCGCACAATTCGTAGCGACGTGGTGGCGACGCAGCCATGAGCAGGCAACTTGCGGCAGATGTGGAACCTCAGAACTACACCATGATGGCACCGCTGCCGAGAGGAAGAGGGGGAAGGATGAGGAGGGAGGAGAAACAGAGGAATAATACACTGCATAAACATACACTTTCAGAGTTCCGCGCGGATTTTTGGGATCTGCGCTGGGCTCCACTGGCGGCGCCTCTGGCGCCGTCCCTGGCGCGCTACGCTGCCAAGAAGGGGGCACAGAGCCGACCCAAGAAATCCGCGCGGGCCTGCGAAAGCTGATGTTCATGCCGCTTGGTTTCTTCGAAGAAGGTCGGAAAAGGCCCTCTGATGTTCTCATGTTTCAATACGGGCTCCCTGAAAGTCCCGACCATTTCCCCGCGGCCGGCTTTTCATCCTGAGCCGTCTTCTGGCGTTCCCAGGGCCAGGTCAGGTCCCCGCGAAGCTAAGAGCGACCAAAGAAACCCCGTCTGGACTTTTGTCCCTACGCTGGATGTCTGGGTCAGGAGAGGGTACGGCACCACTCCCGGTGACGCGGAGATCGGCCGATCTGTCGGGCCACTAGATAGCCGCATGTGAGCCCTGCGCCTGCAGGTCAGGACTCTGGAAGACCGGCCGGGGGTTACCGAATCGGATCGGTCGGATCGAGGTGGACCCTGCGAGCCCCAGCGAGGGTGCCCGGCGCCCTTGCGCGTCGACTGGGCCCGGCTGGGTAGGGGTCGCAGGTGGTCGCAGAGCCGCGCCTGGCGCGCACAGCACCCCGCCCTCGCCCGGGCGGCCAGCGGAAGGGGCGGCCAGAGAGTCTCTCGTGGCTGTGGCAGGAGCTGTGGTGCTTCTTTTGAGAGAAAAAAAAACTGCTTTCACTGCGGGAAGTGCCCCGTTGGAAGACAACCGTCTGAGAGTCCTCAGATCGTGCCAGCGCATCGTCTCTGGGATTTCAACACCGCGATTCAATGTGACTGTTGCGCCTTGACATCCCTAAACCGTGGGAACCTCATTCCTGGACGTCAACCAAAAGACACGGTGAATACGGTGCAAACTTGTAGGACGAATGCGCTCGGCACTACGGCGAGAACCACATTTTGAAAAGGAACGCCCGCCTTCCGTGAAACGCATGCAGACTTGTAAATCGAATGTGCGCGGTGTTCTAGCGAGAGCCATACTTTGAAAAAGAGCCGGCACCCACCAATAAATACATGCAAACTCGTAAGAAGAATGCGCGGCGCTACGACGAGAGCCACAGCTTGAAAAGAAACCGCCCTCCATCCGTTAAGCTCTTGCAAACTTTCGAAGCGAATGTGCGCGGCGCCACGGCGAAAGACACATTTTGAAAACCATCCGCCCATCACCCGTGAAGCTCCTGCAGACTTTTGAATCGAATGAGCGCGGCGCCACGGCGGAAGACACAGATTGCAAACTATCAGCCCACTATCCGCGAACATCTTGTAAACTTTGACAACGACTACGCGCGGCACCACGGCGAGAACCACGTTTGAAAACTACCCGCCCTCCACCTGTGAAACTCTTCCACTGTTTACAATGAATGCGCGCGGCGCCACGGCGAGGACCACATTTTGGAAACAACCCGCCGTCCACCCGTGAAACTCTTGCGAACGTTTAGAAGGAATGCGCAAGGCGCTAAGGCGAGGGCCACATTCCGCTCCGCATCGGCGAAACGTTTGTAAATTCTACGCTTCAGGATCATAAGCGGCGAGGGCAACTCGGACGAAACGCCCAGCCGGCCCTGCCGACGCGCCCCGGGGTGCGACAGAGGAGTCAGTTACAGGAGCAAATGCAATTAAAACCTCCACTGAGACATGCCTCAATCAATGGGATCTAGGAGAGGGGAAGCACCAATTATTCCTGTCCCTCTTGGCTTGCTGGGGGCGCCTGCCGTTGCACGCGCAGTCCCCAGCAGTCCCCCCAGCGCTGGCCTCCTCCTTCCCCGAGCAAGGGGAGGCGAGCGTGATAATCCTACCACTCAAGCAAATACAAGAAAACTACGCATCGCAACAATCTATACGTGCACAGCAAAGGCCGTCAGCAGCAAACATCTCTGGGATCACCCGAGGGGGCGCAGTAAATGCGCCTAGAGAGGGGCGGCTGCAACCTCTCTTCCCTCGCAGGCAAGCTCCACGCTGCCAGAAAGTCGAGACCCAGCTCCAGGCATGTCCTGGGCCCCTGGACGTGGGGGGGGGCCTTGGCACTTGGGCCCCAGGGGCGGTGGCCTGGCGGCCAGTTTGACAACAGCACGATCGGGGTTCGACTGGGCCCCCTTCTAGGCCCCCTTCTAGGCCGCTCTATATGCAAAATCATTGCCGACTCGACGGTTGGTCTCCTCAGAAGAAATACCTTCCTCGACGATTTGCTCGTGGGCTGCCCCCTGGATAGCCCTCGTAGCCCCAGAAAAACCGCCAACCACAAGGCCGGCGTGGGCCCTGTGACCAGGGCCCGTCCACGGGACCCTCTGGGTCACTGGAAACAGCGCTGGCAACGTCTGAGAGGAAGTGCGCGCCCCAATCTGAATGCTTACGTGCCGCCGCGGAAGCACATGATTCACCGGCTTGCGGAGATTGAAGCACAGGGCCCCAGACGGGCCCGCATATCCAGGCCAAGCGGCCCCCCTCCAGGGAAACCTTCGGCACTCCCCATTCAGGCCCACATGATTATGTGGTCGCGCTCTTGAAACAATTGCCGCCCAGGAAATTGTCTCCCGGGCATGGGGGGGGGGGGCCCAGGCGACCCTTTCGAGATGTCCCCGCCCCACCCATCCAGCCGGGCGCCTTCCGAGTCGATCCCGCGCATTGCCCTGGGAAAGGCATCGAATCCGTTGAGGGCGTGGGCCATTGCGGCAAGCGCCACGCTGCGCCTAACAATGATGCATGGCGTCGCGTAGGCAGCAGGCGCGCAGATCCCCTCGGGCGCAATGTGTCTCGCGGATTTGACAGCACAGATGAGCGCGTTCAGGGCGCCTGCAGGAAACTGATGCTGGCGCCCCCTAGCCTCGAAGACCTTATCAGCTCAGAATACTGAAACATGCCCCAGAGCACGGGGGGCGCGAACCCCCCTTGCCGCGTGCCACATTCTGGGCGAAACGATTGCGCCCAAACAGCCCCCTGGGCCCCTCGGCGCCCCCCGGCCGCGAAGTACCCTGGAGCGCGAGGCTGCCCCCAAGCTCCAGCTAACGGCCGTCACGCTTGACCCCAGATGCAGTCCAGGGGCCGGGGGGGGCGATGGGTCGGCGCCCCTTCTGGGCATGCTAAGCATAGTGCACGTTAAGCATAGCTGCGGCCGCAGCTCTCAACAGCGAGGGGATGACGGAGACATCCTCGGCAGTGGCAAGAATGCGGATGGGCAGCTGCGAACTCTCGTCGTTCGGGAACTGCGGCGGCGCCTCAAGCCAAACCCGTCTTAGGAGACCGCGCCCTTTCAGGGCGACATCTGCCGGGGGCCTCAGATCCTGGCGACTCAAGAGGCGACTCAAAGTCGAGCGCGACTGCATGACCTTCCAGAGGCCCGAGAACCGGGTGGCCCCCGAGTCCAGCAAGCTTCGAGGGTCGGACACCACCATGGCTTCCCCCGATGAAGCGGCGGTGGCTTTCCAGGACATGGGCCGCCCAGGGCGGCGCGGCCATTCCTGCGGTCCAACTTATAAGCGAGCCACGCGCGCCCACCCTGCTCGGCAACGCAAGCGAACTCGGCAATGCAAGTGGACACGACGTCCTTCTGCAGGTTAGGTTACAGAGTTTGCCCAACAAAACGCCATTTGTCAACGTCCGCGGCCCTATGCCAGCCAGCATGGCCTTGAGGTGGCCCCCGCAGAACCCACGTGACTTTGGATGCAGGGAGAGGCCTCCGGAGCTCACCCACCACATCTCTGGCCATCGCAAGACCTCGGCCTCCGGAGCCTCCGAACGACCGATCTCAGACCCCAAGGCAGCGCGCGCTCTGAAGCGAGCGCAGGGCCATTCTACAGCGCGCAGAATGGGGCACTCGATGTTACGGCAATCGGAGCGGAGAGTAGACTTCCAAGTGACCTCTGGCCCCCCCCCACCGCCTAGATGCGGAAGGTTCGCGCCATTGGAACCGTTCAACTCAATCTCCGACTTGTGAGCCCAATTCTTGCCGGCCACGGGAATGAGCACGCCTGCTCAAACTGCCTCTCCTGACTGCGCAGCTGCCCCGCGATCGCCGAGTAGCTCGCGCCCCTTGGAGAAGTCCCGCGGGCGATGAAATAGCCCTGGATTCGGCGCGACTGGCGGCGCAAGGGGGCTCGCAGAAACCGAGCGCCTGCACTCGTGCAGGCGCGGCGCGGAAATGAACTGAGACGGCACAGCGGGGGCTGAAGTCACCGTTCTCGGCGAGGCCAGCGCGTTGGACCGATTTGGCCAAGCCTGGCGACGCCACGAACAAATCAGAGCAAAATTCCTGAGCGACGAAGCATCTCGGAGCGTCGGTACATATTACTCCTCCTCAGAATTTGGCAACCAGCCCAGAATCCAAGAGCCCCATGGAAACACAATTGACTTCCAAAAAAAAACAATCCCTCCTTCTAGAACGACGAGACGGCCGATGTCCCCCAGGATATGCAAATGTCGATCGTCCACCCATCAGCGTCGAAGCCGGAGCACGAGACGCGCGTCACTGGCACCCCTCCTGGAAGATGTGCCGTGGCTCCAAC